GAGATATTAAGTTTCTTTGGAAATCATACGAAAATCCTGCGGTGCTTACTTTAAAAGTGGCCCTCGTACGACGATCTGAATTTGCAACGCGTCCCGGCACGCTGGTTGATTGCTCGACCTCCAATCAAAGACCCACAATGCTCTTTTTTCTCTGATTAACTTCTGCACTTCCACTACTACAACACAACAGACTCAATTTAATGATACAGACATCGCCGACTATTTATTGGACTGTATTACAACTTTTACATGAATTTTAAGGTTTCGATTTATTGCTCCGTCCAAATTAAGTTGTTGCCTTTGCTGATTAAGCAACCAGTCCCGTGTAGAGCTACGCATACGTAAATACTCGCATCTAAAAGAGGCCCTCGCGATCAAATTGATGAGTCTATCGTTGCGGATTCGGATCCGTGAGAAACAGGACGCTGCGCCATTATGGTAAACAATCGTTCTTTAATTTCACTTAAATCGGGTTGCGAATCTGTGGAAGAAACGTCAGATGAATCTATACGGGGTGTCCCTAAGTTTTATACTTCATTTCACCCTGAATAAAAACGGTCTGATTGTACTCGAGAAGCCTCGCTAGCATTTTGAAGTCCCTCACTGTAAATTGAAATAATACGGACAACTCCGATATTGCTGTAAGAGTGTGTCATTTTTTTAGAACCGATGCAGCCAGCATCTGGATTGAGTCGTAAGGGTTTACGTTTGATCTGATCGAGGTGCAGCACCGGATTAAGTTTTGTTTAGGTTTGATTGATTTGAGGAGCCCAACATTTCATTTCATCCCGAACAAAAAAAAAGGAAATCACGGATGATCTTAAAAGCGATCGGTATGCTATCGAGAAGCCTCGGTAGCGTTTCGAAGACCCTCACCGTAAATTAAAATAATAAGGACAACTTTGAATATCTTTACAGCTCAAACGTAACGAATGGTCTCTGCTAAATTGCATGCATTTTAATCTTACCGAAAAAATGTTAAAAAATAGTAACGTCTGAAGTCGAGACAAGAAGTGCCACCTATTGACGAATATATGTGGTTCCAACCAGGCCTGTTCAGGTCCAATGGGTGAAACTACATATAAAAGTTGCCCCCAACGATCGACAGGTCGCCCCCAGGGACCTTAACGTCAAAAACGCGTTTTACGACAATAATTTTTTAACTTTGGAGTTTGCGAAGTTGTCTTTACCCAATCAAAAATAAGAAAAAATAATTTAAAACATTTTTGTCTTGAACCTATAAGAGGTTCACAAATCTCGGTTGTTCAGAATATAGCAATGTAGCATCGTTTTTTTTTAATTTTTTAACGGCTGTATAAAATTGTTTTCGAAAAAAACACGTTTTTTTTTATATATGGATAATGAACTCAAACTGACAAATCGAAATTTCCAAAAAATCACTTCCTGAAATTGCAGCAAGATGGCTAGAGAAAATAGAAGAGTTTATCAAAAAACTTTACTCACTATGAAAATCAACTTCTTGAAGATTTACTATTAACAATGCACCGTCATACCCTGGAAGCTAATTGACCACAGGTGTGAATGAAACACAAATTGAAATGTTTTTGTGACTTTCAAAATCTTTTTTTTTCTACCATACAACCACCACCGCGGGCCTATTATTTTCCAACCATCTGTTCTGCATAAAAGATTTGATCGCCATCATCAACCTATCTACCCTTTTCAATCGATATAAATCCATTTAGGGCTACTTCATCAATAAGATATAAAAAGCGACTAATGAATAATCCTCATTTAGTAGCACTGTCGGAACTGGAAAAAATATGTCGATAGCGACTCATAAATCATAGGCGATTGACTTGGAGTCAAACAGGAACACAACGTTTTTTTATTTGAAAGATCACGTTGCTAACAAGGTACCGCGCGTAAAATAATTTCCAAGCTGTATAAATACGCTGAAACTTATGAACGCGCTTTGCAGCAAGTTGCAATGCTGGTTGCCTATATTCAGGCATCAATGCTCTTTAAGCGTAGTAGTATTGTCGGAACTGGAAAAAATATATTTAGAGAGACGCATAAATCATAGGCGATTGACTTGGAGTCAAATAGGAACACAACGTTTTTTTTTTTATTTGAAAGATCACGTTGCTAACAAGGTACCGCGCGTAAAATAATTTCCAAGCTGTATAAATACGCTGAAACTTATGAACGCGCTTTGCAGCAAGTTGCAACGCTGGTTGCCTATATTCAGGCATCAATGCTCTGTAAGCTTAGTAGTATTGTCGGAACTGGAAAAACTATATTGAGAGAGAGACGCATAAATCATAGGCGATTGACTTGGAGTCAAACAGGAACACAACGTTTTTTTATTTGAAAGATCACGTTGCTAACGAGGTACCGCGCGTAAAATAATTTCCAAGCTGTATAAATACGCTGAAACTTATGAACGCGCTTTGCAGCAAGTTGCAACGCTGGTTGCCTATATTCAGGCATCAATGCTCTGTAAGCGTAGTAGTATTGCCGGAACTGGAAAAAATATATTGAGAGAGACGCATAAATCATAGGCGATTGACTTGGAGTCAAGCAGGAATACAACGTTTTTTTATTTGAAAGATCACGTTGCTAACAAGGTACCGCGCGTAAAATAATTTCCAAGCTGTATAAATACGCTGAAACTTATGAACGCGCTTTGCAGCAAGTTGCAACGCTGGTTGCCTATTTTCAGGCATCAATGCTCTGTAAGCTTAGTAGTATTGTCGGAACTGGAAAAAATATGTCGAGAGAGACGCATAAATCATAGGCGATTGACTTGGAGTCAAACAGGAACACAACGTTTTTTTATTTGAAAGATCACGTTGCTAACAAGGTACTGCGCGTAAGATAATTTCCAAGCTGTATAAATACGCTGAAACTTATGAACGCGCTTTGTAGCAAGTTGCAACGCTGGTTGCCTATATTCAGACATCAATGCTCTGTAAGCTTAGTAGTATTGTCGGAACTGGAAAAAATATGTTGAGAGAGACGCATAAATCATAGGCGATTGACTTGGAGTCAAACAGGAATACAACGTTTTTTTATTTGAAAGATCACGTTGCTAACAAGGTACCGCGCGTAAAATAATTTCCAAGCTGTATAAATACGCTGAAACTTATGAACGCGCTTTGCAGCAAGTTGCAACGCTGGTTGCCTATATTCAGGCATCAATGCTCTGTAAGCGTAGTAGTATTGTTGGAACTGGAAAAAATATATTAAGAGAGACGCATAAATCATAGGCGATTGACTTGGAGTCAAACAGGAACACAACGTTTTTTTATTTGAAAGATCACGTTGCTAACAAGGTACCGCGCGTAAAATAATTTCCAAGCTGTATAAATACGCTGAAACTTATGAACGCGCTTTGCAGCAAGTTGCAACGCTGGTTGCCTATATTTAGGCATCAATGCTCTGTAAGCTTAGTAGTATTGTCGGAACTGGAAAAAATATGTCGAGAGAGACGCATAAATCGTAGGCGATTGACTTGGAGTCAAACAGGAACACAACGTTTTTTTATTTGAAAGATCACGTTGCTAACAAGGTACTGCGCGTAAAATAATTTCCCAGCTGTATAAATACGCTGAAACTTATGAACGCGCTTTGTAGCAAGTTGCAACGCTGGTTGCCTATATTCAGACATCAATGCTCTGTAAGCTTAGTAGTATTGTCGGAACTGGAAAAAATATGTTGAGAGAGACGCATAAATCATAGGCGATTGACTTGGAGTCAAACAGGAATACAACGTTTTTTTATTTGAAAGATCACGTTGCTAACAAGGTACTGCGCGTAAAATAATTTCCAAGCTTTATAAATACGCTGAAACTTATGAACGCGCTTTGCAGCAAGTTGCAATGCTGGTTGCCTATATTCAGGCATCAATGCTCCGTAAGCTTAGTAGTATTGTCGGAACTGGAAAAAATATGTTGAGAGAAATCATAGGCGATTGACTTGGAGTCAAACAGGAACACAACGTTTTTTTTATTTGAAAGATCACGTTGCTAACAAGGTACTGCGCGTAAGATAATTTCCAAGGTGTATAAATACGCTGAAACTTATGAACGCGCTTTGCAGCAACTTGCAATGCTGGTTGCCTATATTCAGGCATCAATGCTCTGTAAGCTTAGTAGTATTGTCGGAACTGGAAAAGATATGTTGAGAGAGACGCATAAATCATAGGCGATTGACTTGGAGTCAAACAGGAACACAACGTTTTTTTATTTGAAAGATCACGTTGCCAATAAGGTACCGCGCGTAAAATAATTTCCAAGCTGTATAAATACGCTGAAACTTATGAACGCGCTTTGCAGCAAGTTGCAACGCTGGTTGCCTATATTCAGGCATCAATGCTCTGTAAGCTTAGTAGTATTGTCGGAACTGGAAAAAATATGTCGAGAGTCATAGGCGATTGACTTGGAGTCAAACAGGAACACAACGCTTTTTTATTTGAAAGATCACGTTGTCAATAAGGTACCGCGCGTAAAATAATTTCCAAGCTGTATAAATACGCTGAAACTTATGAACGCACTTTACAGCAAGTTGCAACGCTGGTTGCCTATATTCAGGCATCAATGCTCTGTAAGCTTAGTAGTATTGTCGGAACTGGAAAAAATATGTTGAGAGAGACGCATAAATCATAGGCAATTGAATTGGAGTCAAATAGGAACACAACGTTTTTTTTTTATTTGAAAGATCACATTGCTAACAAGGTACTGTGGGTAAAATAATTTTCAAGCTATATAAATACGCTGAAACTTATGAACGCACTTTACAGCAAGTTGTAATGCTGGTTGCCTATATTCACGGATGCAACGCTCCGTAAGTTTGTTATTCGCTATAAAATTGAGGCTTGCAATTTTCATTTTCGCACAAAAAACAAGCGCTCCTAAATTTTTGTCAGTTGAATAGATACGGCCGGCAAAAAACCTTTGTGATATTCATTATTTATTACAGTTTGCTTGAGTCTAAAGAAAGATACTTCCTCGAACCGTACTCAATGCTTAAGGAGTGTTTGTAGATGTGACTCTCTGTTTGAACATCTAAATAAATTATTGTCGTTATATTCTTAGGAATGTGTCTCATATATGTACGTGGGATCTATCTTAATTTTATTTATATTTGCAATTGATACACGGTATTGTTTAATCTTCAGTTTATTATAGAGACTAAATCAATATTCAGTATACAGCATTATCCTAAACACATTGTTGTACTCGATGTCCAAGATTCTCTAGAACCTCGTCAATAGCCGCAAGGTTCGCTTGAATGCAATCTAAGTACAGCTTGGAGATCCCCGCGATTGCATTTTTAATTTGCTCTGTAAGCCCAAGAGTGGCATGTTCTATCCCTACCAATAACTGATTTATACAATCCGCCTCTTCATTTTCCACCAACTCACAAGCCTGCGTCACACTGTTCAACACCGAGTATAATTTAGCAACTTTTTCTACCATGCGGTTTGGGTCATCAAACTTTGACGAGTAGTCACAGGCTCTCAGAGAATCAACGCTGATGTTGTTTATCAATGTTATAGTTCGTGAGCAAAACTCGTTACGACTCCTTCTTTTGATAGCATCTGCAATCTCGTGAAGTTCTACCAGTTCTTTTTCGATAGATTCAACGGCTTCATTCACAGTTTCTCCCATTGCATCTTTTGCAAGCGCTATTCTCGTTGATTCTGATACCACGACTCGTTGTATTTCGTTTGCTAGACTTTGTACGCGCTCTTCATATTGATCTGCTGACGTCTCAGATTGACAGATGACCTGCAACAATTAACTTTCAGCTTATGTCTCACAAGCATAATTTTTTCATAGGGTATATTTGTGCTGAGGATGGCAGCTATCGAAAACCTCATTCTAAGTCAGTTGACGCTGTCAACCCTGTTTCTGTTGCTAATGTAACACACTGTAAAGGAGTTTTTTTTTATGCCGAAGCGTCCGCTGGAAGAAACAAGCTTTGTTTATCCGATTTTTGCACTGTCTAAGGTTAGTAGAGTAAGGGCCAATTTCACCAACATTAATATTCGACGATCAGTTGGACCAATAGGAAAAGACCTTATCGAACCTCTGAATATCAGTGATTTCTATTGAAATATTGAACGAAATCGTGAAAATTCGACTGTATTATAAACAAGACCACTTTTTGATTCCAACATGATGCTTTTGTACAGAAAAAACAGGACAACTTTCTTGTATTTTGATATATGTTATAGGTTTACATTTAACAACCCGTTATCTCCTCAGCGAATGGGAATGCGGCAAATAATACGTCGATTTTCTATACTGAAAGTTATCATTACATACCTGTTGAATAGTGTGGATTTGTCTGTATTTTGCAAGAAAATAGAATACAAAATACATTCCATCCAGTTCCTCATCTTCCTTTACGTCATAATAGTAATCATTTATTAATTTATGAGTTAATGAATTTCTTCAAAGCAATAAAAACATTATGTCCTCTCCATCCCAAAACACAGATAATATGTGTAAGACGTGTCAATCCCTACATCTCCCTGATGCATAATGCAATTACTATGGACATAGACAACAAATTATGAAAGATATGGCAAATTTGAAGTTTTTTTTTGCAGGTTTTATAGGTTATATTTGGGAATTTCTTAATCGCTGTGAATATAGTGTGGATGTTTGTTCAGTTCCTGAACAACGAAAAATATTCAACTTTATGGATGTACGGATATCAAAAAACCTGAATGGTTTTGTGGAAATATCAATCTAAGGTGCCATAATGGTTCTGAAGTTAATGTTTCAATGACAAGTTGTCATCTCATACATTTCATAGCTATTGGTCGCTAAAATTTGTTGATTGGAACTTGAAGCTCATTCGCTGTATCTGACGGTCTGTTACCCTATAGGTGGAGAATAACGGACTCCTGTTGGTGAAATTGGGCCTTAGTAGGGAAAATCTCGATACCCTATGAACCTTGTATAGATTGAGACGATTAAGTAGACAACAGTACTTCTTGGCCGTAAGCAGATAGTCGATCTTTTTTCAGAAGCTATTGACGAGATGTGTCCTCGATGATCTGAACTCCGACAAGCCGAACTGATGTACGAGTGCCAGGGCGCTTCTTGTTACGTAACATTATAAACTGACAAGAACTTTTACTTACTTGTTTCAGCACAACCAAAAGCAAAGTATAGAAAACACCTCGAGTCATAATCTTGATATGCACGGTGTCATGTAACAATTTAAACTAGATAACCATACGCAAGTATATGATGATGCAGTTACCGTGTTGACAGTATTTTAATGCACATAGTAATAAAACGATAAATTTTAATAACAATTTTCAGCTGGATCAGAAAAGTGGAATGACTGATGTACGTTTTGTTGACCTAAGAATAGTTAATACTCGTGACGATATTGCAACAAAGATATACAAATACGTTTTATTACAAGCTACAGAGCGTTAGTCAGGCAAATAGTTAAAAATTTTTGCGACCTGAATAAAATCAACTTTTTTACCAATGAGACTAGACCAATTTGGTCTTAGTCTCAATTTTGATTGTAATTTTAATGGCCTCTCCTTCATATACATGTACAATTTTACTGAATTGTTCTTATAGCCATCATCTCAACAAACATGCTAAAATGTCACAAGTCGAAAAAATGTACTTATTGAATAACTGGGGTAAACTATTTTCCGAGATATTTGCACAAATTTTTATTCGTTTCCGTATTTTGATTTGGAAGTTATGCTCACTGACTGGATCTTTTTTATTTATACAAGGTGTGCTCAAAGTTCGTACTTTCCTTTAGAGAGCATATGAGTATAATAGCTTAGGTAATAATGAGCAAGTTTTAATAGTATGCAGGGTCTCCTCACACGTAGGACTTTCCTTTTTTAGTAATATATATATATATATATATATATATATATATATATATACAGGGTGACTTCGAAGTTGAGTCATTTATTTTAACAGTGAGTAGATTTGATCAAAAGAAATGTTTTTTCCTTTACCATTTTTCTGGTAAAATTAAAGTAACAAAGTTATAGCCCTTTGGAAGTTTGAGTACCGCCCTGTCTCAATAATAACATTATGTGCTCGTGTTTGGCGACAACGGATATAATCCGCCGTATCGGTTCATCGCATCGGAAACAAAAAAGCGAAAGCATTTGGAACGATGTTTTTACAATTATTTCATTCATTTGTATACAGTCAGTGTCAGTGAATAGTGGTATCTGTTGCGTGGCTCAAACGAAATAAAAAATGGCACATGTTTATGCGGATCGGTTTCCCAATCGAGTGCAACCAACCCCTCGTGCCTTTGTTAATGTAGTACAACGGGCTCGTGAATCAGGTGACTTAAGACCTCACAGGGGACCTCACGATCAAATACAGGTCCGCACTGAAATACTTGTCGAGAGGATACTTTATAAAACAAGGTAAAATTTTTTTTTTAATTTTTACACACATATTTTGGTTTATCTTCCTTCTACAATCATTATCTGAAAATTAATGACTCAACTTCAAAGTCTATATATATACCAAATCTTCAAGATAAACCAGCTACTATATTGCAAAGTATGACCACTCTTCCCTCCCACAATCTCATCCTACGTCAAAAAATAATGTACCAAGACTTATGAGTCAGTATCCAAGTCAAGCATCACGCGTGGGGTCTAGGTTAGCCTACTTTATAAGCAAACCGGAGATTGGCACATTCCTCGTTGTGATATGAGCAACTCGAAGATCCGATTGATACTCCGCGAGTGTACTCCGTCGCCGTCGTCCTCGACGTTTCTTTCCATCAGAGCTGCATATGTTCGTTTATATCATGCAACAGCCGTCTGGTTGAACACAGTTCAATATCTGGACAGCTTCAAATATTGCAAATTCAGGAAGAGGAAAATAAAAACCAGCGTTTCTGCATCGGACAGCGACAACTTGAAGCAGTGTTTACAAACAAAATATATACTTATAGTGGGTATTTCTCTCTATTATCTTTTTTACGTTTTCCGTGTTGTTTTGTCGCAAATTAGCGTTCGTATTGCGAACTGTGAAAAGAAGAGTCCCAACAACAACAAATTGTTTGTTGTTGGAGGTTTTCACAATCTAGAAAGAGATGCGTAAAGCTTCAGGTTATCGGCTAGTAATATTCTAACTTACTTATACTAAGTGACATATAAATCCGAACACCCAGTTTAAATGGTTAATTGGTGAATGTATTTATCTTACTGTAAATAACAAGTGAAAAAATTTTCAGCCTTATCAGTTGGACATTCCGGTTTTTATACTGCTTTTTTTTAATTCACTAACGCTCTAAAAATGAATATTTCAGCCGCAGTAAAGACTCAACGTTGGCGGATTTTGGTTCTTGACATCCTTTACGATCGGTTACGATGCCTAGAGTACGGAGACCTGTACGATTTCGTCAACTTAGTGAGTTTGATTGGGGCCGTATAGTGGGACTTCGGGAAACTGGGCAATTGCAGTTAGAGTGCAAAGAAGTGTAGACACTGTGGTTAGGTGTTGTCAGGCATGGCTTCGAGAAGGCCGTACGCAAAGAGCAAGGGGCACTGGACGCCGCCGTAGAACAACAGACCGTGAAGATCGCCGCCTAAGATTATTGGCCTTAAGGGACCGTTTCTCCACTACCAGGTCCATTGCAAATGAATGGTTTGCAGAACACGGAGGACCTATTGGCATGCGAAGTGTTTACCGACGAATGAGAAGTTTTGGCTTGTTTTCATACCGGCCACACTGGGTCCTCCCTTTGACTCGAGTCGGTGACGTAATCGCCTTGAGTGGTGCAGACAGCGGTCACTCTGGGATCAGGAATGGAACAGTATTGTCTTTAGTGACGAGTCTCGATTTTGTTTAGGCATGCACGATGGTCGTGTCAGGGTTAGAAGGCGACGTGGTGAAAGGAGGAATCCACAGTTTTTTGTTGAAAGACATGTTCATCACACTGCATACCTTGAGATTTTCCAATCTGCCGAATTTAAAAAATGCGATCGGATAACGTGTCGTGTATCAGATTAATCAGGAGACTTTGGTCTTTCGTTTTGCGAAGAAAAAAATCAAAGTACGCGGAAAAACGGCTGTGATCGGTACCTTTGAGGCGCTCGAAGTTTACTTTTTCGAAATTTGACGGGAATTCTAACGGTCAGAATCGTTTCCTAAGCTCAATATCTTTATTTTTCGATAGCTATATAATTTTTACTCGTTTACGTATAGTATTAATAGGCGAGGACAGAGCCGGAAAACAAAGTGACTTTTTCACGCGTCGAAAAGTAGCATATAGTCGAGCAACTTTAAAAAATCGAAACTTTCGAACGAAAATGGATAAAGAAAAAAAAAAGACGCTATCTTTGAGTCCGATGTCCGGGCTTTCTCACGCAAAAATCGTGAGGTCCGTAGCTCCTTTATCTTCGGAGGAGATAGATGTTGAACGTCGAACAGCACGGAAATCTTACCGTTTTTTCAACTTTTTTGAAAGATACAGGGTGTTTTTACGCAAGCCTTTGAATGCCCGGCACCAGTTTATTTTTGGAGTTACAGTAAAAGTTGTCAAACAAAAAAGTTTACATTATCCTCGAATTTGAAGATCAGGTGTATTTAGACGCAAGATTGCAGTTACGTCAGAAACTTGAAAATGTTCTCCAGGTTTTGGCAGAGACAGAAGAAATATCATAACCACCTAGCCTAAATAGATCTTGCATTTCAGTCACCATGACCAATACAGGGAGTTGATTCAGGAACAAACGTAACCCGCACCTATCCAAAATGAAATCTACATACCGAATGATCCAATTATACTTGCCTCCAGCAAGCTGTAATTATCCCCTAATCTCAATCACCTTATTAGCAGAACAAACATCTGCAATAAATTAAATTTTAATAGCAACGTGACACATCTCGTAAATTCGTACATACATATTCCGATTAATAACTTCTGAGTGGTCAATGACATACCGGTGGCAAAACGAAATTCGTAGGTACCGTGTATCAAAGTGATTATTATAAGAAGGCAGAATTCAAACGACAGCAAGAGAATTGTGTAATTAAACAGCGTTTCCGCTTAATCTAATCAGAAATCGATATCTCAACAAATTTTAATCAAGCAGGTAGAGGGACTTTATTACAGTTATCGGACTTTTATCGAACGTTGTCTTGGATGGCAGGAGCCAGAAAAGCTTTTGTTTACTGAATAGGCCGAGCCCGCTAGATTTTTCTCATAAAAGAATTTTTAGTCGATGTTATATGACATGCTCATCATGAAAAACCATGTCACGCATTTGCGTGGAGGAACACATCCTTCATTGATTGAGATTCGAAAGGTCTTCAAATATCCTTTACCTGACAAATCATTCTGTTTCGATAAAATTGGATGCTCTTTTAGCATTAACATCTTTGGCTCTGTGACTGACATTGCCTTAGGAAGTGTATAAAGATCCCAACAAAGTGTACAGAGCCAATTCATTAGAGGTACGACAGTTATTACAGATACGACAATCTACATCCGTCATACAGTGAAAGTGATTGAACCAGGGTCCAACTGCTGGTTCAATAACTAGAACAGAACCTTTTCACTAAGCCTCACTGCGAAGGACAGACACGCCGACGACGAGTCCATAAAGATCCATAAACAAATATAAAGCGGGTGTTCCCCAGCGATCGGTCTTGGCCCCGACACGGTTCCCCTTATATATCAATGACCTTTTTTTCTGGACGACCAATACAATCCCCAGTTTTGCTAACGACATCACCCCACATACAGAAATTCGGAGCTCTGAAGCCTGCAATGAACTTGACGCCATTTTTTTAACATAAAGAAAGACAATTAGTCTCTCTCTTAGATGAAAAACGAAGTATAATCGTACGAGGTACCAACGCACGTCACCACGAAGCCCGTGAGTAAATACAAATAGAGACAACTTAATGACCTCGCGGAAAAAAGAAACAGTAACAGAAACGGTTCCGTTGTTTCTTTTCGGTATTTTTTGAGATCGAGAATCTAGTATTCTCGTACTATTCCCTCGAAGAAACCCCTTTGTTCGAAACGAGAGTGATATATGTTACGGGTCTCGAATTATAATTACAATTAAAACACAATTTATTTCTTAATAAGTACTGGAGACGGTATTCGTGCGAACTGGAAGTATATCTCTCCTTACACTTACAGCTAATTTGTTGAGTACTTACATATATTATCTCTTGCTTTAATTGGAAATACTCGAACCTCCCTACCTATTACGCTATCCCTCCGAGGAGACGTTAGATCAACTGATACGAAAAACGCATCTTTAAACGGTTGGTACCTCGGGGTACGATGCGCTTGGAGTACCTTTTATTCTGATGACGCACTCTGAGACGACT